ATAAGAAAAATCTCTGTATCTGTTTCCACCTCCCTCCTCCAGTGACAAGCAAAACACTGTCTGAAGTCGTGTTCGGTCTTGAAAGTGAATGAACGTATGCAGTGCTACTGACTTGCTGTTGAGGTCCAGACCGGCCTGATCACAAAGCCTCAGACTTTGGCTACAGCCATCTCTTTGTTCACATCCTGACCCGACAGAGCGGGGTCCCCTGGGCAGGGACGTGGCAGCGACCACTTCTCTCCTTTTCCTCTACATCTCTTCCAGCTCTTCCATTCCAGTTCCCACATTCCAGAAGGGCATTTCTGGCATCTTACACGCACATACACACACACATATACATACACACACAATAATATACATATATATCTCCATGAATTGATTCTTTGATCATGACATGGCTACTCTTTGGTTAGTTTACATGCTCTGCTGTCTCTTGCTCCGCAACTTTCACCCTGTGAAGGAGCCCATGGATTAAGCACGCACAGGCTGCGGCATTTCCAAGGGGGCAAAGCAGATGTGCGGAGACTCAAACACAGAATCCAGCCGGGTGGGAGACGGAAGCCGCCACCGAGGAGGCAATTCCCGTAGGGAGCCGCCCCGCGGAGGGCGCCCCCCAGAGGATGCCGACCCAATCCCCCCGCAGTGACCGGCTCCCTGCCGCTCCCACAAGATCCCGCGCAACGTTGCCAAGACAACGCAACGGAAGCGAGGATCAGGGAGCAGATCACGCTGCTGCATGGAGACCGCGTCCGTAAACTCTTCCCATAAGGGAGCGTGGGAGGAAGGAGCTCATTGAAATATCGGGGATTTCGGCTCACTGAAAAACGGGGATTTTGCCTAACTGAGAGTCACGTTTTTTGCCCTGCATTCTCCGAGATGAGTCTTTTGTTTCTACAATCCTAATAACACACTTGTATATCCAGGGCTCCAATGGGAGATTACCATTCAGCATTATGCCAGTGACATGTACTAATAAAAATAACCCCAAAATAGCATTCGCATGTTCATGGATCAGACACAGATACGGAGAAAAAAAGAACAGTTTTAAAGTGACAGTGTAAATTAATGCTGCTGCAGAGCTGCGGGAATTCCTAGCAGGGAATTTCACCACACGGTGACAGAGTGCACAAGATCCGACTGCACTCCGCACGCTACAACCACTTTTTTAGCAGCTGTAACTTACCAAGCAGAATGTGATTCTTCATCCCAACGCCTATTGCAGACAGAGAATCTTTAACTGGAAACTAACTGGAATGAGAGCTTGTTTCCAGGAGCTCGGGAAAGGAGCACAATCTGCTTGTAGCTCTATCCCAACACTTGGAATGAAGTAACACAGTTATTAGCCCTAACTGAAATTACACCCTCACAGGCTCCAAACTTAGATTCCTACAGCTTAAAGAGGACACAGCCACAAAACTGCACAGAAAAATGTATTTTGACTAGTATTTTTTGCACTTCATATTTCATTCACTGAATTTGCAGTTTCAGATGTTTCTGAAAACTCTGTTGAATTTTCTTAAATCTTAAGAGAGCGAGTTCAAAAACATTTCTCTTTAGAAATACCAAGAGAAAAAAATTGTTTCTTATATTTAATATGAAGAAACGGAAGTGTTATTTGTTAAATTTTCAAAATTGTCAGAAAAGACGTGGGAGAGTTTCATTTTACTTCTTTGTACTACCAAATCCTGAGCAGGTAACATGATTGCAGAGGAGGATGTTTAACACAGGCTTTCACAGCCTTCTTGCTTCAATTACCCCTTTGCGCCCTCACTGCTGTAGCTAATGTTTTTTCTTCTAAAATCTAAAGCTAGATCCAAAACAGAGTAACCCCAACTCACATCTCTTGGTGGACTGGGGCCTCTTCAAAGGATCTGACACAGCAGGTCTGACCTGAGTGTCGCTCAGGTTATTTCAAATACATTTGGCAGAGTGCCCCGTAACATGTTCAGTTGGAACACTTAAACAGAACTACATTTTCATTCCTTTAAAACACACCTATGCACAAGGACATAGAACAAGGTTCAAAATGTGCTTTTCTGTTTCCCTCCAGACAAAATATCAGAAAACATATGTAAGTATGACAAGAAGGCTCATCTCTGAGCAAGAAAAGCTCTGTCTTCTAACAATGAATTTGCAATAGCTTCCTGGATGGCTTGGGGCAGACACTTCTCTTCCTCAATTTAATATCTGCAGGACTGGAATACACTTTACTTGCTTCACAGGGTTATCAAAAGAATTAAATTGATTGTATTTGCACAACCGCTTTGAAGATGAAAATTGCCATTTAAAGGCTAAGTGTCATTTTCCTATAAATATGGAAAAAGTGAACGCCTGCATAAAATCAAAACAAGATTATCCCCTGCCTGTGCATACATGTGAGCAAGACTTGAAAGTCCTTCCTTCATCTCCTGCCACATCTCTGAAGAAGACGAAGACAGCAGGTGCCTATCAGCCCTTACGTCCTCAACTCCTGCTTGACATTTACTGACCTTGTGGCCACATCCTCACATCTTGCAAGACATGCTTACTCTGTTTGCTACATAAATAAACAAAAGTGCATTACTTATGAAGGAAGATTGACAGAAATCAAAGTTGTGATCTAGGAGGTTTTCCAGGTGTAAGTTTTAATATAAGGCAAAAGGACCTAGAGCTTTGAATATACCTTATGAAACCCGAAAAAGTGCTTTACGTTCTGCTTTTCTCTTTTGCATCATCCTTTTTCATTGCAGTGTTTTATTTCCTCATACTCATTTCTGCCTGCAAACAATAACACAGTTGTTCCTCAGCTCTACAAAGCTGATCTCTTCCCTCCTCTCAGTTACATGTAAGGCCATAGAAATCATCCCAGCAAATACTAATTACCCAGATACTAGATTTCCCTCCTCCATCTATTGTTTTAGCCTCAGCTGAAAGAAGTAATGACTAAGACATAATTATACAAGACCTACAGCATTCAGGTAAATTTAAATGTCATCGTTCCTCAGTTTTACAGGGCTCCTGCTTTGGAAGAATACATACCAGTAGGAAATCTGGGAACAGGAACAGCTTTCCAGATTAACTAAAGGTCAAAAACATTTATATATAGAAGTAAATCAGTATCTTTGAATCTTGGGCACAACAAAACACCAGTTTAGAGCCTCAGATAAAATTTAATTACAATAAAAGACACTTCCTAAAATACACTATTTTTATTTTGAATTAGAACTGGCTATAAAAAATCATTTAAAAACTTATTAGCTCTACATGACATGTCACAAAATAACTGTCTCAGACTGTCTTGTTAGATGTGACTAGCGGTCTTGTTTGTGCTTTCAGCTGTGACTTTTTATTTTGGAAACAGTTGAAACCCTTTTTCTTTCTGAGCCTCAGGCTCCTCTACTCTGCCATCACTCACTAACCATGAATATCTCTAATATGAAGTGATAAATGCAGTTATCTATTTTGTAAGATATTCTACACTTAACACTTTACAGTTTTGACCTAATACATGCTCTTTCTTATCTCCATCTCCCATTTTATCTCCAAAAAGCTTCCTAAAGGACCAAACAGCATATTAGCAAATCCTACCTTCTCCATATTTATTCCTAACAAAGGAAAGAGGGGCTGTCTCCAGCAGTGAAAAGGGCATCTCTATTTGTCACTTCCTTCTAACAACGAACCATTACAAAGAGGGCCAGACTCTCCTTGGTGGTGGTATGTGACCAACAAGAGACAACATCCAAAACCTGCAACTTGGGAGGTTCAGATGGAACTTCAGGAGAAACTCTCGTACTAGCACAGTTACTAGGACAGGTTACTCAGTGGAGTTGTGGATTTGGTAGAGGATTTCCACACTCACTCACATAAAGATTTCACTGTTGACAACAGCCCTGCTTTCAGAGAGAGGTAGACTACAACATGTTTTTATGATTCAATAGCATCATTTCTGTAGTTCAACACCATCTACCTAACAGCTGCTAACACCAAAACGGAGCCAGCAGCTCCAGTGGTTGTTTGAAGGGGTAGGAGCCTCCTCACTAGTAAATTTTTGTAGAAAACCAAGGGAGCCTAAGAGCGATTTACAATTAGCAGTGTCTGACTTCTGTCTTTTAGGATGGTGCTTTCTTTATTTCAGCTGTGTTATTTTCGCTTTCCACATTCTCTATTTCTGACTGAAGTTTTTTCCTCTGCAGCTTTTTAAAAAGTTTTAAAACTCTAAATGTGGATTAGCTTGTATTGTACTAAAACAATCACTTCTTCCTTCCCTTGTCCTCTTCATCACCTAAAATTCAGTCTCCCTGGTAGGGACTTTGATTCCAGTACTTTTAATTTTTTATTTTTTTTTTAACTCAAGACCGAACACCTTGCTTATGCTGCATAATAGGCGTTTCTAGAATAAAGGCTCAAAAATAAAAATGGGTCATTCTTCTCATCAAATCATCACCTCCCTTAACACTGCCTGTGAAATAGCCCTAGCTCATTAAGTCCTGCTATAGTCTAGCCGAAGAGTATGCCACGAATATAAAATCAAGAATATAAAACACACTGCCCCCAGAGCTGGGCTCCTCATCTGCTCTCAGAGGTCTCTCAAGGCACAGACTGAATCCAGCTGCACACAGGTGCTTCTTTAGTCCTGCCTGACACTTCAGACTGGTCTGAATAAACACATTAACTTTGCATTAACAACGCATTTCTGTACATATCACTGAGACCTGTTCTTGCCTTCTGACTTTGGGATCATAGGGAAGTGGACATGATGAAGGTATGGTCTCTACCTGTCAACTAATTAGCAGATATACGGAGACACATTTGCTCAAGCCTTATTACCAAATTCAGATAGGATGTTTGACACAATTACACATAAATTGGTACTTTGCTTTCTCCATTGCAATCTAAGTAAAGTCCTGTCTAATTAAATGAACTTCACGTTAAACTACCACTACTACCCACATATTCAGGATAGAGGTCTGAAAAACATTTCCCATTAACCCCATTTCACAAACATATTTTCAAATACTCACCAGTCTGCCACCAGTGGTCTAAGACAGGGACCTTGAAGATTTTTTTTGACCATTCTAGTGTGTCCACGTCACAGTGCTCACCAGCTACAAATAATGTTCTGAACCTTTAAATGACAACAAAAAAGTATACATCTTGATCCGAATCAGAAAAGGAAAACATCATGAAAAAAACAAACTCAGTGAACTTTTGTGCTCTGTGTCCCAGATGAGACGGAGAGAAAAGAGACGGAAGGACTCTTGCTCCTTGTACTTACCCATCCTACTGAGGAGCAGTTAAAGTCTTAGCAATCCTGATTGAGGTTTCTTAAATCATCATGTAATAGAAGTTTTCTCTTGCCAGCAGAAGCAAAGAATAGTTAAATAGCTTGTACAAAAGAACAGGAACATCAGTTAAGCGGAGTATTAGTATCAAATATCAAAGAAGGCATCAGAAAGAGATATCACAGGAAAAAAAAAGATCAATAAAGAAATAAACAAATAAGAAAACTTTTTTATGGAAATGCCTGCAGTATAACTAGCTAAGAAGCTGCCAATAACACTCCCTTAAACTTACGTTAGTATTTTTTCTAATCGTTAGTTATCTTTTTTACAGACAATTGGAAATTTGTGAACAAGTAACAAAGACTGAAGTTTTTTCCTACGTAGAACCTATATGAAAAAATACATACACAAATATATTCATGCATATATATATACACACATACACACACTTGCATGCATACACATACACACATTTGTCTATACATATATATATATAGCAAAACACAATGTACAATCTACAGAGAAAGCCAAGCAAAAGCATACACACAGTAGCTGAAATTCTTCAGAATATTTCATATTCTGAGAGATTTCTTGTAAACCTATTAGATACCATTGATAACAGAACAACATTAAGCAACTACAGGTCCCTGACGACACCGCCTGGATAATCTGCAGTCAATTTTGGCAGAAAAAGATGCACCTTCTGGCAGTACTGACAGATGCGATCTGGATTTTTGTGCCATTAAATTACATAGTGCTCTTATAACTGGGTATTAAACCCACACACAGTCTTTAATATCATCAACATATATCAGATGTTTGTCATGCTTTATCATCCTTCATTAAACACTGAAAATTCACTTTACACCCTGTTTAGGATTTTTGGTCTTTTATGTAAACTGCAGCATTCTTGTGTATTATCTATATTATTTATTATCTAAATAGTATTTAGAAACCAGACTTACTTTATGTTACTGCTAAGGTTCTGATCTTCTCACACTCATACTCTACCTTAGCTCATATCTGCAGTAGATCTTTTTGCACTTCTAATTTTCTAAGGAGTAACTTAAACCCTGTTTTATTGTATATAAATTCATGGATACTCATGACACAGGTCAGACATCCTCACCAAACAAGAAGGTATTCAGGGAAGGAATCATTTACCATCTTGCCCACATATCTCCAATAAAGAAATAAAAAATTCTTTTCAAGTAGAATCTGAGAACTTTAAACTCTGATTCACTAAGAACAGATAAAAATAAATGACCAGCTGTGTGCAGATGCACCACTGGATTGATATTCAATACTCTGCCACTACCTTCAGGATCTGTGTTATGATTGCATCGTTCCTACAGGCAGCAAAACACGGTATTCATCTCCCTACTACCAGAAAAAATATCTGCTCTGAATGAGTTCCCTAGGCTTCTATGGTGCTCAAAGACCAAGAGGTAACTTGAGAGTATTTTACCTTTAAGAGTCCAAATAGGCTCATTTCGATAGTATGGAAAGGCAGGAAAACAACACAAAACTCAAGATCTTACAGCAACAACAAATACCAAGACTACTACAATACTTCGAATTCGTGAAGTTACTTTTGAAAAGATAGTTATAGACACAGTGATGAACTTACTGTGAAACAACTTGAAAGGGACAATCCTGCATGTCAGAAAAAGGAAATCAGGAATAAAAGTTTGAGACTTTCTTATTTTCTGAACATATACATGTGTTTCTATTTAAGCAAGATTTTAAAGCATAAAATCATCATTGGGAAAATTAAATTTAATTATAAGGGCAAATTAAGACATAAAATCTATTTTTGATTGTCAACGATACGAACCTCTACATTTAATAAAATCAGAGTGGAAAATTGCACCTTCTTCCTAGAAAGACTGGCACAGAAATCTGAAACACATCACAACAAGTGGCACCAATGCCTATTTTTAACCAACGGGGGCTACCCTGTCACCAAGAATAATCTGAACTGTAACTGCATAGCTCACATGCACACATGCCCCATCACTGCGGAGCGCAGAACCCGCTTCCCTCGGCAGCACCCCCAGGATGTGCTCAAGCCCTCCTCTGCCAGGCCCTCCCTGCTCAGCACATGACACCCTGCAGACAGCACTGCCCTTCCACCCAGGCAGGCAATTTAAAACCTCAAAAGGGCCGAGAGTAAAGGGAAGGTGATAACGAAACCCATAGCCAGGTTCCATATCTGAAAGACTGTTCACCAGGAAATAATCTTTCTTCTTTGAGTGACAAGCCACAGAGAAACACTCAACCAACACAGCACTGTGTCAACCCTAAAGGCTTCCTTGATGACAGAATGTCCAGTTAAGGAATAAAGCTCAAAGTCACCCAGCAACAGGCCCTGGGATTAAAAATATTTCTCCAAAATTCCTTGTTACGATCACCATTATGTGCTCTGCCATGCTCTACCACAGCCAGATCCATCTCAGCAAATATAAAACTATTTTAAAAAAAAATTGAATTCTAGAATGCACATGCCAGCTTTTCCTGACCAAGAAAAGCTGTGTCTGCCTCACGCTAGTTTCTGAAAGAACAAAGAGGAAAGTTCACTTGTACTTCTTAGTATAAATTGAAGGTAAGGAATTCTTATTAATTCTTAATGCAGCTAGAGACTGTGGATATTAAAACTTGAAAAATAGCCTTAAAAAAATCTTAAATGTTTTAAGTAATTTTCTTTCTTTGGTTTCTTTGCTTGTTCTCCTGCCTGAATTAATTTTGCCTTAGTCAAGAGGATCCAAGCATTGGAGGGCTGTGTGACAGAGTCAAGAGGGGGAGAACACACCAGCAGTGACAGACCACTCACATCCTGTGGGTGAAGGGGGCTCCAGACAGGATCTCTGCTCAGGAGTCCAGCAGGAATGGCCAGAAACAACCTACAGCAGCATAGAGCACAAGGTAACTGCAAAAAATGTACTTCAGTTTTCCCATATCTTGACTCTCAGTCCCATTCTCCAGCAGTGTGTGCAAGACAGATTACAAATTACGTGACAAAGTATTTCTTTCTGTCGGTTTCGAATTTGCTACTTTGATTTTATGTCCTCCTGTTCCTGGGCGATAGGGTAGAAAACAGAAGTATCTAATCTATTTCATACTCATTATTTCTGCACATCTTTAATGTAGTCTCATATTTCTTTCTGGAATAAGCACACTGATATGTGTTACACGTGTGCACTATTCAATGTTTCCCGTGCAGTACAGGGACTGTGCTGCAGTCCTAAATTTCAATTCTCAGCTACTGGATAGCTCTTAAGACTGTGCAAAGCACAGTATCTTTACACAGATACATAAACTGCTGTATTTTAAAACTGCACTTCAAATCAATTACTCTATGGCTGCATAACCCTCAACATAATTTGCAACAGCATCTTCCAATCAATGTGAAAGAGCTATAACAAGAACTGCAGCACTCTATCAACAACAGGGAGCCAGTGTCTGCACCAGGTCAGTGTGATTTTCACCTTCTAATTGAGATTGTGGTGGGTTTTTCTGGAACCTTCACTCCTGAAGGCACTGCACCTGAGAGGCTGCAGAAACACCTGATCAGGTGCAGCAGCTTTGTGACTAAGCTGCGAACTAAAAGTTGGCAACTGATCTATAGAGCCAACTCTGTTACGGTAGAGGAACTAGTAACTATTACTTATGGTCCAATTTAACCTGTTGTGGCCCAATTTCATTCCCAACTGTCAGCTGTCAGTCATTTGGAAATGCAGACCCTAACCAGATCATAAAAAAAAAAGTCAATCAAACGATGAATGAGGATTCCAAACATGAGCATATTATTGAGGAATTCCTTCCTTACAGAACTGTAACAGTCAGTTACAACCAGTACACAGGGAACAGTCAGTGGCCTATGTTTTTTTTTTTAACCCATAGATGAAAAAAGATTATGTATTTTATCTAAAACCCACTCAAGCCCATCCAAGAATTGCTGGAGACTGAATTTTGCACTAGATGTAGTCAGGAGATGTCAGATACCAAGGAATGACTCAGCCCAAAGCTGAATGATTTAAGAGGCAAACATATTTATACATGGAGGAGCTGTTTAATTAGGCACTAAATAGAGAATGATTAAATATTTTTTGATGTCTGGAGAACCTTCAGTTAGAGGATTCTTATGTATCTGAAATCATATTTTTGCCAGAAAATGGGGCAACTTACAGAACAGGTACTGTTTGTTAGCAAAGTCTCCAGTTAATGAATACTCCTCACAATGGACTAAGTCATTTTTGTAATTGCCCACAAAATGCTCAGCAAAAACCATCACGTTTTCTAGCATCTGATACACCAAAGAATCACTTCCTTGTCACCAAACATCACAGAAAAGTAGTGCTTTGCAGTCTCAAAAGGGCTAGCCTCACATTTCAAAGAGGAGAAAGGACTGACAATAACACTCAAAACAGAAGAAAGAGAATAATGAAGAACTTGCAGAGAACACCCCAGGAATATATTGTACTTATGGATGAATAAAACTTTCCCGAGCAAATAAGAAAGTTGTGACCTACTTAAGCTACACAGCTTTGCATCTTCCCTGTCTTTTAACAACTGTGATCAAAAAACAGTCTTATGACTGAATTCTGCCTACAGTCTGACACAGTCCTTGCTTGTTGTTGAGCAAATTATTCAAGCCCAAAATTCCAGAGATGGTTCAAAACTATGGATTTTTTTTTCATTTTCTGAGTGCCTGCCATGAGATTCTGAAGACTGATTGGTAGAAATACAAAACACTCACAGATGCAGCTGAAGTCAGCAGGGGAATCATTTTGACCACATAAAGTGCTATATAACTCCCAAGAACTCTGAAATACTGGTGCTTAAGTGGCTCAGACTGGGTGTTCAAAATTAATAGAAGACTTTGACCTTAATCTCTCTGTGCCTTGGCTTTCCAGCTGTAAAATACGGATAATACCAGTCTCTCATCTCTCAGAGGATTTGTGAGGATGAACTCAGTGATGTTTTTGAAGCATGCAGATAGTATAGTGATAAAGTCCTTAAAAACGGTATGAGATAGTAAACGGTTCTGTCTTCAGAGCACGATTTGAATAAACTGTGAGTAGTAAGTTATGGGGTCAGAAACTGAACAGAACAGAACAGAGATGAAGAAAACATTGACTAGCTGCTGATTAAACAAGCGCTGAAGATCCCGTACACTCAGTGAAATGGGAGGTCATGTGGAAAAGCGGTTTCAAATCTTGTAATCCAAACTACACGATAGGGTATATGCTCCGTGGAGTAAAATTAAGGTTGAGCAAGCAATCCTAACCCACTAAGAATTCCTAACTTTAGAGTTATAATCTTCTTACGCTTGCATCTCCTCCATACTATCAATGTTAGGCTCACAAACACACACAAATGCACCTCAATAGTCAAGAATTTGCCTGTGTTCCGCTCCGCAGCGGTGGGCTTAGCCCCACGCACTCGGCTATTCTTAGCTCATCCCGCCTGTTTCTGTAAGGAGCTGCTTCCCGGGTGTCCTCAGTTCACCTTGTCAGAGAGTACTGCTTTCCCAAAGCTGCCTCCGGGTCCTGCTGACGGATTGCTCTAATTGCGGTCGGAGAAGTAAAGGCGGCAGCTACTCCATGCTCCGCTAGCACTCGGAAATAGGCACCAGCATCTGGCGTTCCCACAGGCTTCCCCTACGGAGAGAGTAATTTAAAATGTCACAGGATAAAAATACTTCATAATTCCTTGACAGTTCAAGGCACGAACACTAACAGTAGCAGCAGCACAGCAACAGAAGTAATTTCAAGTAAGACTTAAGAGAAGCTTTTGTTACCTTGAGTGTATTCACTTGTTACAGAAATAAATTCACAGGCTTTGGGCACAAACTCTCACATGAACACACCACAGACTAACTGCTACTGAAAAGAATAGGATAAATGGAGAGATATATGGAAAGTGAGCCCCAAGGAGCTGCTGCTGCACTGGCAGCAAAGAAGGCTATGTGTGCTTTTACCTTGAAACACTGCAAAGCATTTAGAGTCCTACTGAACTGGGATCTTCGTGACGCAGTGGCGCTTCAGCTACCTACCTTATGCACAGGCCTAGGGTAGTGCCAGCTCTTTGTAAGCTATGGATTTCACAGAACCACAGAATCCCAGAACGGTTGAGGTTGGAAGGGACCTCTAGAGATCACCCAGGCCAACCCCCTGCTCCAGCAGGGACACCCCAGAGCACGGGGCACAGGGCGGCATCCAGGCGGGTTGGGAAGATCTCCAGAGAAGGAGACTCCACAGCCTCCCTGGGCAGCCTGTGCCAGGGCTCTGTCACCCTCACAGGGAAGAAGTTCTTCCTCACATGGAGATGGAACTGCCTGTGTTTCCACTTATACCCATTTCTCCTTGTCCTGTCACTGGGAAGAGCTTGGCCCCTTCCTCCCTACATTCTCCCCTCAGGTATTTGTACCTATTGATCAGACTCCCTCTCAGTCTTCTCCAGGGTAAACAGGCCCAGCTCACTCAGTCCTTCCTTCCCAGTTCTGGAATAATTCCCAGCTAGCTGCTTACAACAGGCTTTGTGGCTCCCCTGTGGCACTACAGCACATAAAGACTGGAGAAAAGCCAAAACCCTCTTCTGTTTTAGTGTGCTACCACACCACTATTTCTTTAAAAACTAAACACTGCCTTGAGCTACAGGGAATAGTCAGGGAGACTGCAAACAGAAGTAATTAGATGTGACACACCATCCAAAGGTAAGTAATAATAATCAAAAATAATCAAAAATAATCTTCTGCTGTGCTGCAAATGTGAAAAGCAGGTAGCACAAGGTTATATAATCACACTCTTTATTGTATGTAATTACTTCAGTGAACAAACTGCTCCACATACGCTTATTTTTAAGTGATGCAGAGATGTTAAAGTTCTTCTGCTTTAACATCTGCCTTAACATCTCTGCATCAGAGATGTTAAAGCAGAAGAGCTTTAACATCTCTGCAGGTATTTCATAACCTTTTCGTCAGAAAGGCCCCACTAGGAAGATGAACTTTGACAGAGCCTGCAGCTAAATGAGGAGAGACATACGCTCTTCAAAGCACTGACACAACTTGCTAGTGCTTTATGCAAGAAGCCACAGATACACGGAAAGTTTCACTCTTGTGAATGTCAACATCTTTATAGCACTACGCTGGTCACAAAACTCTTCTGTATCTCTGTCATCCTTTTGCAAATGCAAAGTTGGAGCACGGCTTTCCTAACAAACCTCATTCGCATTCATGTCTTCCATCACATTCAAAAGAGTTGTAGGCACAACTTATAATTCATAACTGGCAATTTTTATGTGTGCTGATAATTTTCAATAAACAAAAAATACTTTTTCCTCTAACACAGGGCAAGAATTGCAATAAAACAAACAATACAATAGACAGATCAGTTCAGTGGAAAAAAATATACATAAATCTGTGTAATTCTTTTCCATTGCCAAGATGCAAAAGGAAGAGGAACATGAGAATAACTTGACAAATTTGCTAAATGCAATATTTTCATACCAGTAACAAGGCACTAGCGAAACAGTAAATGTTATGAAAACACATACTAATCAAGTTTGTTTCCCATCTTCAGCAACTAGCAAATAGTTTTTGTCCTCAGGCAAGAAGGATTATATATATAACAGATTCACATAATAGATGATAAATTACACTGCAAATTCATACCAGCCAAGTGTGCTGGACAGGTGCTGTTTCATTGCTCTTCTGCTACTGGATCCACTACACTCCGCTGGCGACCTGAAGGCCAGAACGTCGCTTTAAAGCAAACAAGGTATTTTTTTGCAACGAGGTCGCTCAGCCGACCACCAGCACCAGCCTAACTCCCCTCCACCCACACAACCCTGGATGTCCACGTGTGCCCATGCAGGTGCACATATAGACGCCAACAGACCAGCATGTGTACAACACCCCTCCTCCTATATCACTGCCCAAGCACTATGCACATCCTCTGCTGCATATGGAAGTAGGGACTACTTTCCTTCCAGAGGGGACTTGGGAGTCAAAAGCAACCATTTGCTGCAGCCAAGCAGGAGGAGGAATGTCTTTCACGTGGAGATTAACAAAAAGAGTGGAAAATCAGCTGCTGCCTGGGAACTAAACATCACAGTCCCTAAAGAGCAGTCATCTGAGCCCTGCCAAGGGATTCCCAAAACCTTAAAGCTGCCTCCAGCATTCCCTGCAGGAAGTGCAGGATCAGGGCTCCTGCCACAACCCTGAGCCCGCCGGGGGGAAACCACCTGTACACAGGGAAGGAAAAGGTGTCTGAGGTTTCCATATGCGACTGAGGCACCTTATTCCACTCAGGATCCCCTCATGGAATGCAGTTTCCAAAGGAAGCTCTTTCATCAGCCTCTGGCTGTAAACTCTTTTGCACAGAGTCATTCATGGCAGCGTTTGTGAATTCACCCAAGCATTCCAATCTCAGCCCTTCCTGGCCCTTGGAAAAGCTGCTCTTTCAACTTTATGTCATCTCTATTAGCTGCTCACTGCACCTGCAGATCTGCAACCATCTGGCTGGTAGCTCAGCATCGCATCGCTAGCTTAAAACAAATAGTCTCAGAATGCGAGAATCTCCAAATTCTCCTAAAATTCTCATTAACCAATTACATAGCCAAATGGAACCATTTGCAATCATTTTGGAGGGGAAACAAAAAAAAAAAGAAAAAAAGAAGAAAAAAAAAAAACGGACTGTGGAGTAATCTGAAAATAGTTATCTGCCAATAAGGACATGGCCCATGGCTTTTAATCACCTGCGAATTTCCGGAGTTGGCATTCGCTGCCCATGCGCAAGGCCAGGTGTGGGAGGCACAGCCCTACCTGCCCCCTACATACACCAATAAACCCCCTCCCTACTGCACAAATAGAGCAAATGGTTTAAGGAAAAGAGCAGCAAATCCCACTGACAGCAAATCCCACCGACAATTCTTTGGAGATAAATCCCCCAAAGGATAAGCTTTTCACATAGGAAAAAACAAACAATCAGGCCTATCTATAAAATATTGTCACTGACCCTGCACAAAACCTCTCCCATGCTTGGCAAGTGTTTGCATTTTATCAAATGCATAAACAAAACCTGAGATAAACAAATATGAGACAAGGCAGGCTCATTTCAGAGCCCCCTCAAAATTATAAATGAAAATGCCAAAGAGAGCTCTCGTTCATCATGTGGAAATTTTAAGTAGCACTGCAAAAAGCCATATGAGATTTATTACCGCCTGCAATTCTGATTTTTACAAAGTTAGCATGATAAAAAATAAAGCACACGGTAATTGGATTCAGAATAGGCTGGCAGACTGCTGAGTCTATTGAGGAATATTAGCAAATGGGATGCTTCCCTGGATTTCTGCCGGGATCAGTTCAAGACCTGATACTACTCAACATCTGCATTAATAATGTAGATGGAAATATATCAAAAAAAGATTACTGGCAGTGTCTGTTGTTGGCATGAACTTGGAGTATGTAAACAAGGGTAAGGAAGTTGGAAAGAGAGAGACTTTTCTCTCCCAACTAAGAAAAAAAATGTAGGAACAGCCACTTTTCATATGAGCTAGCAGAATTCAAGTAGAAGAGTGTCTTCCTTTTAAAAACTTCCCAGAGACTCTCAGAAAGACAGACTGACAGGAACAGCTTTCTGGAAGTAGCCAGGTTGATTGAACACGACGTTTTTCGAACACCTACTAACTACAAACACACCCTACACCAGGCAAGGTGTACTGAGGGATGATGCACAATCATGAAAGAAGATTCACAGTCAGGCAGCAAGGATGACCAACAGTATGAAAAATCCTCTTATGGGGAAAGTCAAAAGCCAGAGGGACGGATTACAGGTGAAAAAGACATGTAAGAGGAGCTATGATAAAATAAGCAATTAGGCATCAATAACAGCTCAGTAATTTCCTTTTTATCTGCCTCCTGACAACAAGAAGCCATTTGATTAGAGATCTCAAGTGAAAAATTAAGAGGTAATTCTCTGCACATTGAATATTATAAGCAGAACTCACCGCACCAAAAATGCCTGGCACCGCAACAGATACCAGGATTCAAGAGGAAATATCCTTTAGGGGTTAATTCTGCGGCTGCTGGCCCTGCTGCCAAAGCTCTGCTAAGAACCAAGATGACACAGAGCTACTCGGGCATCCTCTTCTCCACCTACACTAGCACAGGCAGCTCCTTCCTCACCTGAGCTCCCATCCAAAATCCCAAGTACTGCAGCAACTACAATCATGCCTTTTTTTTTTTTTTTTCTTTCCTGTCACCAGAGCTGGAAACTAAATTTTCTCTTCATGATGTCCTGTTGTTTACAGTTTGGGACGCCATCAGCAGAAACATCCCGGAGCTCCTGAAGTCCTGGAGTTGGACTTCAAGACGCTTACTTATTTCTGAAGTTGGTCCTTGAAGAAAAACAATCTAGGACAAATTGGTGGAAAAAAATGCTGTATTTAAAGAAATTTATTACTGTTTTCACATTCACAACAAGAGTGTTATAGCAGGAGCAAACTGAAAGCACGTTGTTTCCATAGCAATTGTTAAAATGACATGTTATCACCTACTAAGTAATTTAAAAATAAACAGACCACTTTAAGGAAAGTGGGAAGAAATCAGTCCCATTCATACTCAGTAGTGGGCACAGGGGATGTGTTTTTTCCCTACACA